GCTCGCGGGGATCTGGATCTGACCCGCGCCCCTTGGCCGGGCAAGGGTGGCGCAGGGGCCGGATTCCTCCCTGCTCGGGGCAGCGCCGGGGCCTGATCCGGACTGACACCCCTCCCTCCCCGTCCCCCGGGAACAGGAGCATGGGACTGATGATCTGGGTTGAGTCCCCCTTCCCCCCGCGCTGATCTGAACCCTGCCATGCCACCTGCTAGGGCTGACCTGGGTCCCCCCGCCGGGCTGGCCGGGGCCGGGGCCGGGCTCCAGGGCTCCGGCTCCAGGCAGAGCAGCTGCTGCAGGACGGAGAAGTCTGGCGGGGGGCCGTCGAGGAAAAGCTCCCAGGAGGGCTCCATCCCGGGGAGCCGGGCGCAGCCCCCAGCTAGGCCCGGACTGGGGCGGGGAACGATAGGCCGGGGGCGGGGGCCTTAACCCGGCACACCTGGGCAGCCGGCGCCGGGGCCATAAGGAGCCGCGAGGGAAGACGCAGCCTCCGGTCCTGGGGCTTGGCCCACACCCCACAGGAGCCAGTGCCCCCGGGCACCGCTGTGCAAAGAGTGAATCTTCTCCGGATTGGGAGGAGGGGTCAGCAAGGGGATTCCCCCTCATCACCAGGAGCAGGCAGGAGGCTCGAGGACAAGCCCAGAAGACCAGCTGGGGCCCTGCCCAGCTCTTGGGTGCCTCCCCTGGGAGTCATGGGTGGGGGAGAGGTCCTGCCAGACCTGGTTTTCCCGGACCACATAGGTGGAAGTCTGTCGTCCCCCCAGCCCCGCAGCAGGGGTGGGGGGAGAGAGATTGGAGGGAATCCGGGCAGAGGAGAGGGCTGGGGTGTGTTCTAGACTTCCTCCATCCCACCTACCTCCGAGGCCCATTCTGACTGGTGTCTAAGGCTCAGGTCTTGCCCTGGCAGCTGTGAGCAACCTGGGCTTTGTTGGGAGGCTTCTGGCTTCCTTGTGCTCCTCAAGGCCTGCCTGTTTCCCTGGATGGCTTCTTTCCTTGAGGAAAAGATGAACCAGCACCCAGGAGACCTGCCTGAGTACCTACCAGGTGCTGACTGGGGGTCGGAGCCAGGCAACACTAGCAAATGCCCACACCTGTTTGCTAGGGGGCGTTTCCAGCCAAGATACAATCTTCTACCCTGCTGTAGTTCCCTGGAGGGAGAAATGAAGTCATTCTCATTTCTCTGCAGTCAGATAGTGTAAAAGCCAAATACTGGGGCTCTTGCTGTAAGCAGGGCAGGGGGTGCATGAGGTGGAGAAACACAGGTCTAAGGGCTTCACCTGTGGGTAATTGGCCTGGGCTGACCCCATTAGCAAGCTCCAGACAAACACCAGCTGGGACCAGCCTGGCTTCAGAGGATGGGAAGCTCCAGAGCCCTAAAGAGGCAGACTCAGAGACAGGACAGTGTAGAGCAGTGAGTGTGGGCCAGCTGCTTTCCTGGTGGAGGAGGCTGAAGCCTGGGGCCCCATGGAGATTCTGTACCTGCTTTGGCTCCAGATGCACTGCATCCCCTAGGCAGAGAAGGCCCCTTTCCAGCAGCTGAGCCAGAATGGGAGTGGGGGGAATTCTCTGTGGGGCTGGGAATCATGCTAAGAACTGGCCTGGACTCAAAGTGGGGGGTACTCAAGGCAGGGAGTGCCTCCCACTCCAATGCTCCTCTTCCTGGAAGGTGCTGTCATGGGTTACAGGCACCAGGGGCACTCCCAGCATGGACCCTCTTTGTGAAGACCAAGCCCCAGGCAGGGGTCCTTTGCTCACTGGTACTATGGAGCAGCCTCTGGGGATGGGGTGGCTCACAGCTTGGGACAGGAAGTGTTGGGAGCAGCAGGGGCCACCTGCAATATGCAGGAGGCATTGCTAGATGCCCCAGGTCCTGATGCCCACATGCACAGCTCTGTGCCACTACTGCAAACCCACCCCAACCCCATGGTGGGGAGTTGCCTCTCCACTCCCTGCTGCCCAGGCAAGGCTGACAATGAAGAGCCCATGTGTCATGTTCTGCAAACACCAGCTTTATTGTGCAGGAGGGCTGCAGCCCCCATGCTCAGGTCCAGCCTGAGCTGCAGGCACCAAGGGAATGATGGCAAAAGGGCCACAAATGGCTGAGAAGTAGCGAGTGCTGCCTGCCAGCACCCCACACCCAGCCAGCCCTGGGCTAGGCATCTCTCTGCCTCGGCTCCACAGTTGCCTTCCAGACACCACTTGGTGTGTGGGGGAGGGGGGGGACCCTCTAGAATCATTGCAGCCCTGCTAGTTGGGGCTCTGCTGCCCCACTCCCCAGCCACTCTCTGGGCAGCTTGGACCCTTTAGCCCCTGAAGCATGAGAGTGGAAACCCCCATGGAGTCAGTCCTGCATTGACCAGCACCTTCCCACCAGGGCTTCACTGCAGCCTGGCCACAGGGACCCAAGTGGAGGCCCCCTCCACCTTCAGTGGGGCTTGGGAACATGGCCATCCACATAGAAATTCCTGGTGATCTTGGGCAGGGTGAACTCTGCTCCCTCCAGCTCCGGGGTGAGGATGATCTGGCAGCCCAGGCGGGAGTTCTCCTGCAGCAGCGGGGCCATGTCCAGCATGTCCTCTTCTCTGTGGGGGTGAGAAGGGTTGCTTCTGCATCTTTCCCACCCAGGGGAGGTAGGGAAGCTCCTCCTGGCTGCTGGGACAGAGGCATTTTGGGGTGTGCAGCAGAGGGGGGGGGGGATAGGAAGGGGCCTGATTATCCATCAGGGTCTGGCCAGCACTTGGCATGATGGAGGCTCCCATTCCTTGTCCCAGCTGCAAAGGGGGGGGGGGAAGCTACAGCCTGCAGAAACCCTGGAGCAGCCAGCCCCCAGCTCCTGTTCATGATGCCCCTTGGAGGAAGGGGATGCCCTGGCTGACCACAGCCAGCTGGGGGAGTGGGGGAAGGACATTACCTGGCTCCTAACACTCATCCTGGGGGTGTTGCAAGCCTGGAATCCTCTTTTCCTCCTGCCAGGGTGGGAGCCCACAGAGGGAACAGGGGGCAGCTGGGGTGGGGGGGAAGGACACAGCTGGGCTGTGGGTACAAGGGCCATTACCTCTCATCAGGGATTGGCAGTTTGTCCACAAAGGCCTCTTTCACATAGACATGGCAAGTGGAGCAGGCCAGGGAGGCTTCACAGGCACCTGGAGGAACAAAGTAGGGTTCACCCAGGGAACCTTGCACCCAGAAGAGGACGGGGGCTGGAGCCACCTGCCTCTCTGCCCTGCTGGAGGGGGGGCAGGGGGGTCATAATGGGTCACCCACCTTCCAGTTCAATGCCATGCCTCTGTGCCAGGTGCAGCACGTTGTCGCCCACACGGCCCTGCACCGGGATGCGGTGCCCGGAGCGGTCGATGAACACCACGTTCACCCTGGAGCCAGAGACAGGAGCATCAGGGGAGTGGGACCAGGCCTGGGACCTCTTGCCAGCAGCAGGCACTGGCAATCGCTGCCTTTGGGGCTGTGGGAAAAGGAAGGGCCCCACCACATGGGGGTGGCCTGGACGCAGAAAAGCTGGACAAGAGTCTGAGCAGCAGGGCTCAGCTTGGGTGTCAGTGCCTCGCACTTCCCCTGGGGCTGGGAGACCTGCCCAGACTGACTGCAGGGTGGCTCTTGCACTCAGCAACACCTGACCCCCAAGAGCCAAGCTCAGCTGTACTCCGCATGGGAGAAGGAACTAAAGGGAGGGCTGTGCCCAGAGCCAGCAGAACCACCCAGGTGTCCCCAGCCCTCACCCCTCCTATCCTGTGTAAACAGCAGAAGGATTGGAGACAGGGACAGCCTGTGGGGGCTGGGAGAAAAGCACAGGCACAGGGACCTTGGCTCTGCCAGGCTCCTGCCAACCCCAGACCACTTGGACCTCCCCTCCCTCCCCCCAGGGAGGATGGCTGCAGAGGGGCCATGGGTGCAGCTCTACCAGGGTCCTGGCACTCACATGGCACCCACAGGCTCAGCTGGGCAGGGCTCCTCCTCCGGTGCCTGGCTCCTGGATGGTCCTGGGGAAGACAGTGCTGTTAACCCCGTGTCAACCACAGGGGCTTTATCCCCAGGCGGATTATGTCCCACCAATTCCCTCAGCCCCTCCCAGCGCAGGACTGGGCAGGAGAGGATGATGAGCTGGCTGGTTCCTTTCACTTTCACTCTCAGATGTTGTTTACATGAAGCAGTCTGGAACTGCTCCCCCAGCCAAGGGAGCGAGCCCCACCCACCCAGGGCCTCTAGCCCCCGCACTCTCAGGGGGGACTCAACCCTCCCCTCAGCAGCCCTGTCTGCTCCTGGGGTCCACCCACACCAGGGGTATCGTGTCCCCCAGCCCCCACTCTCCTGGCCTGTCCCAACTACACAAGACCCCCTAGATATTTCTCTCCATGGCAATGAGCCCTGCCCCACTGCCATCTCTGTGGAGACCAGGGGCCTAACCCCAACTCCCCCTCACCTGGCCCCTCCCATCTCCATGGAAACCAGGTCCCCCTATCCCTCCGTCTCCACAACAAGATCTACCCCCACCCTGCCTCCATCTACATGGATACGAGGTGTCTCCCACCCAAGATTACCCCTACTCTGGCTCCTTCCATCTCCAGGTCACCCCAGACCTCTGTCTCTCCATGGAGACAGGTCCCCCACCCCATCTCCCTGGATACCATATCCCTCCACAGCCCGATCACCGTAGCGACGACCCCCCGCGCTCA